ATTATCCATTAAGAAATTATTATAATCTGTGGTATATCTCCATCTATCAATCTCCCAAAAAAAAAAAATACATGCAGTATGCATTCACGCCATGTCTAAATCACCATTTCTTAAGTACTCTCGTCATATGGTACGGTACAAGTAAGAGTTCCCAGCTTACAAGTTGTAATTATTACGAGCTTTACGGGGACGTGAGCGCTTTTTACAAGTTGAAATCTCTTAATAGGTAATTAAGACATGGTGTGAACGTCACCAATATTAAATAGTATTGCTTGTTCTCACTTTATAGTGCGAAATGGTGCAGTTAAATGCAGTGTTCTCAAAAGTTACGTTAACTATCCAAATGCACAGTTAAGACTTGACTACCTTCCATGTGCTGCAAGGTTTTACATTGATCAAATTTTCTAGAGAAATTAAAACAGCTCGTTTTTTTTCTAAATAGATTTAGATTTTGCACGTCTGAAAATTTAGCATGTTTAAAGCTTTAGAAAGCTTGTATTTTAGGGAAAACATTTTGATAAATCCATTTTTTTATTCTGGTTTAATGAATGTACATTTTAAAAACTGTGCTACGCTAAAGATTATTATGTTTATAACTATTATGTTTCAAAGTAGTTGGCGTTTTTGTTAGCATTTCTCATCCCAGTGAGCAATTGATGTCAATGCATACCCGCATCTGAACTCATTTGGAGTAGCAATAGGATTGTGTAAAGGATCAATAAGTGCGCTGCCAAAAATCAAAACATTTTGTTTCATTTATGCATGTATGTGAATGCTTTTGAATATTAGACTGTTACCTCACAGTGAGGTATGCCATCGAGTGAATCTTCTCTTATTGTGTTGGGAGTTACGCCGTAGCTGTGTCAAAGCTAGCGTTTGCTCGTCTTCAATGGTGAATTCTGATCAAATGAGCCAAAGTCAAGCCTGATTTTTGTTTCGTTAAGGCTTTAATTTTCCTTTCATCAAATACTACGTGTACCAAATGTAAATGTTATGCTAGATTCATAATTTTGTACTTTTTGATTTACTTGTCATGTAATCACAATAATGTTCATATTATGAATTATTATGAAATGTTTTTCAAACAATTATTGATGATCTATTTTTATGTGGGAGACATTAGGTTTAAGGCCTAAGGAACAAAGTTACTTCTGATTTAACGGAATTAAATGAAACAAGTGAATGATAGCTGAGCTCGATAATTTCATTCAGTTTCTTTTTGCCGAGAAATGTCATTTGCTTGGATTTATACATCATACACACCTTCTTTCTGAAAACATAACACTGGAAACTCAAGAATATGAACTACATGTGAAATGTATTACATGTGAGAATGTGTATTATAAAAAGCCACTTAAAATGACAGCATATGGAATCTATATTCAACAAATAATGGTTTAATAAAGTTTTTTATGTTATTTTCATTGTCATAGTCATTTTCCGACTGGTTTCTGTCTCACTATTCATAGACAAAGATGCGATAAGATGACCTTGGGTTTAAAGGAGTCATAACATGAGAAATCAAATTTGCCTTGACATGTAAGAGGTCTTTGTACCATTAAAACATCCTGCAAGTTTCATAGCTTAAAACGTTCTCATTATAAACAGAATTTATTTTAATCAAGCTCCAAAAACGACTTGTTTGGATATTGTGAGATCTGTGATGTCACACTGTCAATGCATACGAATCCAGTCCAGAGCATGACAATGACGAATAGTTATATAACATTGCATAACAAATGAATGCCTACACTGTGAGTGTCACGTCGTGTCAAAAGCAAACAGAACCCATTATAATCACAGACGCTGTCTACACTGGATACAGTATACAGATCTGCGATCGGTTTCTCTGTCGACAACAGGACAAATGGAACGAACGTTCACTTTGACGTGTCCAGTTTTAACAGCTCGTACACACTCTGTACAGACTTTACAAGGATCCCAGCGTCAGAAACTAGTGGGTGGGTTTATTTTAATGGCGTCCCGTATTGTGCCGGAGGATTATATGTTTGTTCGGAGAATTTTGTTTTATAACCGAGGCACAGTGTAACGAAGAGTTTGCAAAGAAACTTTTGAAGAAAGTAGGGCTGTCCGTTAAACACGTCATTAACGGCGTTAACGCAAACCCATTTTAACGCGATTCATTTTTTATCGCGAGATTAACAGCCTTTTTGGCCTAGCAAACTTTGTCGTTTTTTTCACATGCTTTTGCAGTAGGAAGCCATTTTGCTATGAAACCCATTAATTTCGATGGCTAAACCGCACAAAATCAAAATGGTTTAACTTTTGCCTCTGTAACGATTACCAGCGCGCCCAATAGAAACTTTTTGGCATCCAAAAACTGGCGTAGCGCCGCGCATTCCACGTCCTGTCTGAAAGCGCCGGATCTAGACACACTTGTTGCGAGCCGGCCAAATAGTAGGTTATTGTTACGTTTTGAGTGGATCTAGAGCGCGAGATGCAGAAATGGGTGCCAATAAGATTCTGAATAGAAAGTGCACTTTTAAAAAATTGCCAAATGATTTTTTTTGATGCTGTGAACTGAGCTATCATTGATGGCCAAGCACACACTGATGCGAATTCTCCGCCCCCTCGTCAATATCGTGACCTCAGTATTTCACCCTTTTATTGACATTGTGTGAGAGATTATTTGCTCCAAGTGAGAATGTTTTAGTGTGAAATTGAACACAGTTTTGTCAATGTTGTTTTCAATAAATAACATTTGCACAAAACAAGCCGATCCACTTTTTCATGTGTATTAAGAGCATTAAAATTAGAAAAAGAAATCAAGTGATTAAATATTTTAATCGTTTAATCGTTTAACAGCACTAGTTGAAAGATGAAGCAGCTAAACTGATCTTACTGCAGCTGCATTACAAGTGAATGATTTCATAATGCTTTGCAATCTGTAAATGATAGATGGCTAATGTTTCCTATGCAAAGATGTTAGCCAATCAGTGGCAGTTTAGTGACCAGCCTTAAAGGAGAAGCCCTTTAAAAACGGATCATTTCGGACAGAGTGACAATGAGAGTTGACAATAATAGTTTTTCTGCAACAAAAAACCCCTTTATTAACGTTATAAGAAGGGCTGGGCAACGATTAATCACGATTAATCGCATCCAAAATAAAAGTCTGTGTTTACATAATATATGTGTGTGCTGTGTATAATTTTGTATTAATTACTTTTGTATAAATACACACACAAGTATATAATTAAGAAAAGTGTGTGATTAATATATAAAATATTTATATTTAATATAAATATATATATATACAGTATACATGCAAATATTTCTTAAATATATACATGCATGTGTGTGTATTTATATATACAAAATAATTATACACACCACACACACATACAGTATATTATGTAAACACAAACTTTTATTTTAGATACGATTAATCGCGATTAATCATTGCCCAGCCCTAATATATTAAAATAATTAAAAAAAATACCATGACCCCCTTTAAAAAGATATTTGCATGCAAAAAAAAAAAGAAAAAGATTTTTCACAGAAAAAAAAAAAATCTGGGAACTGAAACTAAAAAGCACTTGCCGAAATGGACTCTTTCTTCTATTTTTGAGCTGGATTAGCCAGACACACACACACAAACATCATTTAAAATGCCGCGCTGAACGCCACAGCCCAAACAAAGATCAAGTGCTCTTTGTTGCTTGTCTGACCACAGCTTCATTGTTCATCAGTGCCTAGATGTTGGTCCTTTAAACACAGTCCCATTCCGGCATTGTGGAAAAAGCCAATCCTCATGCCTTCTCCTGGATATTAGCATTCTGACACTTTTTGTTCCCTTCGGTAACGTAGGAAAAAAAGCAACAACATGAGTATTTGTGTGGGCTGCCACAAAAACAGCGCCACTTCCCTGTGTTTAAATACCAACAAATCCATCAGCTTAACACCGATTGTTCTGCTGTCGCCAGACACAGATTCACAGTTGTATTTTGTGTCTTTTCAGATTTCAACTAAAATAAGGGCGCCATTGAGATGACATTTGAATTGAGTGCTTCCATGACTGCAGAAAGGCTCTGGGAAATGTGACACTGGCCTTATTGTCACTACCAGCTGCAGTGTTGGGAAATGTAGCAGAAAGGATTGGGTTTTAATTCTCGTGGTCAGTGGTCTAGCTGTACAGACAATTAGATTCAACTAAAGTTCAGAACATCGAGAAAGATCTTTTGTTTATTTCAGATTCTGTATAATACACTGTAAAAATGAATATGCTTTATCTAATCAATAAAATTGTGGCAACAGATTACAAGCAATATTATTAATTTAATTCAACAAATTAGAATTGAGTAATAATTAATCAAATTATTCCTTAAATGAGTAAAGTTTACACCAAAAATTAAACAAAAATATCAGACGACAAAGATTAAGAACTCTTTAATTTAAATTGCCAAAATAGTAGACACCTGATGTTAACAAGCAATCACTGAAGGAGAAAACCGTCATTTTAAAACAAACCTAAAGCAAACACTGATCACCATAATGGTGACTTAAATTTACGTTGTTGTTTTTTAAATGGTTAACTTTTAAGGAATTAATTTGATTAATTATTACTTAATTCTATTGTTAAATTGAATTAATAATATTGCTTGTAATCTGTTGCCACAATTTTTTTGATTAGATAAAGCATATTCAATTTTTACAGTGTATCTTTGTAAAGGCAAATTCTGATTGTGCTCCGTTTTTAGTCAAAATATAACCCTCTTCTGGCTGTGCAAGATAAGATAAGCGAAATACAAATGGTTTTTGAAATGCATTAAGATTACCATTTTAGAGCAGGAAAAACTCACTGACTACATTGAAACCATGTCTTGTTTTTCATTTTGCACATTTTCTGAGGAACACTACTGACATTATAACAATAATAACCGTTAAAAATAAAGTCACATTTTTAGGGTCCGTTTAATCTGACTTGGCATTTAGGAGAAACTCCATCAATGACATCATTCATGTAGGGCAAGGGTGAGGTTGGGCCAGAGCTCGAGCAGGGAAGAGGTGGCACGAGGAATTCTTTTGGTTCGCTGAAAAGCACAAGCTTGGACGTTTGTGTAACGTCTGGATTCTTTTGAGCGGGGTAAGAGATATTTAACACAATTCTGATGCTTCTGATGTTTAGCTTTTATACAAGTTAATAAACAAAAAAAGCAGATACGCACCACCAGTTTTTGTTCTGTTTAATTTCAGTTTATTGTTGTTCATTATCAGTCTCTTCGGTCGGGGAGGTTTTCTCACGATGAAGTGCTCTCTTGGACTTTTACTGCTGGTCTGTTGTGTGTCTCTTAGCTTCGGTAAGTCAGATGCTTGTGGTACTTATTGTCGGGATGGTTTTGTGTGGCTTTGGTCATGACCTCAATGCTTTTTATTCGAAACAGGCAATACGCATTATGGAATGCGATTCTCTGCAGGCTCGTCTCTTCAATGCTACAGGTGTGAGGATTACACTGGGGGCCATTGCTCAATACAGCAAGTTTGTTCTTATGAGGACGCATGTTTATATCTTCATGAGAAAGGTGGGTGGATAAAGTACATATCCCCCTGAGACAGAAAAAAATGTTTGGCGTTTATATTTTCGGTTATTTTATAAATGCAATTATTCTGTTTTTGACATTTTATTATATGATATTTTTATCCAAAATGTACACTAACCCAAATCTCGGGTCAAAAATGTCATTTCAAATTTTAACCCAACTTCAACTTTCACTTTCAACTGTAATTTTTTTTATTGCATTTTTAACCCAACAATTGGGTTTGTCCATATTTGACCCAAATTTGGTTTGAAACAATCCAGCATTTTTTAGAGTGACACTTAAGTCACTTAAAAGTTATTTTATTTTTTATTGAGATTCAATATTAGATAAACATTTATCAAATTTTGAAAATATTTTCAAAATTTCAATTTTTTTTTCAAAATTACGTAATTAACCAATTTTTCCCATTTCAATGTAAATTCTTCCAGTTCACTGTTAACAAATGCTATTAACGTTTCCATTTTGTAAGTGTCCATTGTAATTTCCATCCATGCATCTAGACATTTTATAAGAACTAGCTTCACTTTTCTGAATCACTCTTGCAATATGTTCTAACCATATGATGTTGAGCAGTGTCAGGTGGGTAATTTAGTTACTGTTTAAACTGTACTTTAATAATGAATCTAAAATACTAAAGTTCTACTGGCGACGTCTAAAGCACATCTCCAAATCAACATCAGCTAAGTCGAACGATGTCTCGCCCCCTATGACCACTATCACTTGGGAAAAGGGTCTCTAGTGTTCCACTAACTAACCTTTTCTTCAAAAAAACTGAATAACTAGTTAAAAGTTAACAGTAAAAGAAAAGTTCAAGGGTACATTTAACAACTATGTACTAAAATGTATTTTCTGTTCACACGGATTGGCGAAAAGCGCTGTATTATTCATGCCAGGCCAGTAGACGGCAATGTCACTTCATAAGAAACACCATGAGCCTATAGAAAGAACACATTTTCACAAATTTGCGTTTTTGTGGTTTACACCATGGGTTTACACGAAGATGACTTGTACTGTTGTAGCTACTCTACACTCTTAAAAAATTAAAGGGTTTTCACAGCGACGCCATAGAAGAATCCTTTTGGGTTCCCCAAAGAACAGCTTTAATGATCAGTTCTTAAAATATTTTTTTCCCCAGTTTGAAGAACATTTAAATATTCTATTCTATTCTGTTCTATTCTACTATCGTCTTTTCTATTCTATTCTATTCTAGTCTAGTGTATTCACTAATTTAGACATTTCACACTTTTTAGGTGGGAAGACCATTCAGTATTCACTAATTTAGTAGGGCTGTCAAATGATTAATCGCGATTAATCGCATCCAAAATAAAAGTTTGTGTTTACATAATATATGTGGGTGCACTGTGTATAAATATTTTGTATATATATATATATAAATGCACACACACACATGCATGTATATTATTTATAAAAATATATTGTTTATATATAAAATATGTATATAAATATAAATTATACATAAATCTATATACAGTATATACATGAAAATATTTCTTAAATATATACAAGCATGTGTGTGTATTTATATTAAATAATTATACTCAGTGCACCCACATAATATTATGTAAACACAAACTTTTATTTTGGATGTGATTAATCGTTTGACAGCCCTATAATTAAGACATTTCTCACTTTTCAGGTGGGAAGACCATTCGCCGGTGCATTCGATACACTGACTGTGATAACTCTCGTCTGTCCCAGAAGTTCCCGTCGATATCCGAATACACTTACAGATGTTGCAACACTGACCTGTGTAACAGCGGGCCCGTGACTGCTGCAAGCACGTCGGTCTTATCCCTGCTAGCGGCGCTCAGTGGCCTCTGGTCCTGCTGCATCTCTGCATGATTTCACCCCGAAGTTTTTTCTGTTGCTATCTATATATTTACTATGTACCATTATTTAGCGATTGCTCGTTTTTTACTAACCACTTATAAATCGCAAAGTACTGTTTGTGGTAAATTATTTGTCTAATACCATTTTGTTTTTACTTTTTATTTTGAAAACATTTTATTTTGGCTGATATTTTTAAAAAATAATAATGCTGTAAAATGTCTGACCTTTTCATATATGACCTTTGTATGTTGTACCTTTACATGTTATGAGTAAAATAATAATTACAAAAAAAACTTGATTTTCTGATTTTCTACGTTCTAGACATTTTTAAAGAAATACTTATGTTTTGTTGTTTAAGCGTTCCTCCTTACCAACTTAAATGTTCAGTTTCAAACCGCCTGCAACAGTTCAAGTGTCCGTTCAGCACCGCGGACAGCTCCACTTCAACTAGCCATTCTACAGCAGCACCTAAAGCGTTCACGCCATGCCGTCATTACTGTAAACAAAGCTCTGTATGCTTTCCAACCGCTCTCGCTGTACTTTTATGTCATACACTGATCGATCAGCACAGCGTTACTTTAAAGGAGTAGTTCACTTTAAAAAAAAACTTTTACTGATAATTTACTCACTCTTTTCTTCAGTCGAAAAGAAATTAAGGTTTTTGATGAAAACAGCAGGATTTTCTCCATATAACGGACTATATGCACCAAACGGTTCAAGGTCCAAATGCCAGTTTCAGTGCAGCTTCAAAGGTCTTTAAACGACATCAGACGATGAATAAGGATCTTATCTAGTGAAACGATCGGTCATTTCAAAAATAAAATAAAAAAGTTTAAGTTTTATAGGCACAAACGCTCGGCTTGCTCTCTGTTCTGTGATGCGAGTTCGTGACTCTCCTGTTCGAACTCGTTCATCAAAATGAACGAATCTTTATCGAGTCATTTGGTTCATTCAACGAACGAAATGACTCGAAAAAAGATTTGTTCATTTTGATGAACAAGTTCGAACAGGAGAGTGAGTAATTATCAGTTTAAAAAAAAATGAACTAATCCTTTTAGTCGAACACAACGTTTAAGTGGAACGGCGGCCACGTGGCTCTCAGAAAATTATGCACATTGTTTATTACAATTATACAAATGCAAAAAATATATACTTATACAAAAGACGGTGCTGTATAGAGCAATGGTGGCATGGAATTCTCTTCCGCAGTTTTTGATTTTGGGAGTGAATGCAATGAATTTCCGTAAAAAAATTATTTATTTATTTATTTACATTTGAATAAATGTCGTTTTTTGATATGGAAGGTTGAAAAGAGGAAAATCATTGTGAAAATTATGAACCCTATAGTAGTATGGCTGTAACTAATGATTAATTGATAATAAATAATGTAGAGCTATTGTTTTTATTTTTTATTTTTTAAATAATTTTTAGTACGTTGCTGTATTGTTATGTATGAATATGTACACTCCTTTTTTGGTTCAATATAATGTATGGTTTCATGTTATAAGAATTTTTTTTGTGTGTGTTGAAGTCTATAGACCCCAGGAAGCAGTAACTAATGGGATCTTAATAAACTAAACTAAACTACAGTTCAGAATCGTTACAGTAATAACAACATAGTGTGAACGCACCGAAACACTGAGTAAACAGAGGAATATGTATTCAGTACTAGACTGCTGAGATTTGAAACAGCTGATTTTAAAATCTCCACCATCTGAACGCAGATGGACCAGCTTCCCTCTGAATACCAATCGCTGCAAAGTCTCTAAAAGTATACTCTGCCCAGCTGTTGATCCCTAATCCTGTGATGTAACACACACGTTTTCCCACAAAGGTAAAAAAAAAAACTCATTCAGTCAGATATATAAAAAACGTCATTGGCTTTATTAATTACATGAAATACATCAAATAAATTAACCCTGATATGTAAACAGTTGAATCAACACGGAATGTATTCTCTAATGGTCATTTAAATAGCATAGGGGGACACTAACATGATGTGTTCAATCAGGTCCTATAGTTCACACACAATTGCACATGGCCACACATGGTGTAAAAACACAATATGTCAACATTTACAGTCACAGTAAAAACAAAAAAGTCACGATAACATCTCATAAAACCAGATGAGAACACAAAAAGGCAAAGGACTGAACTGGAATATAATAATTTAAAAACGGTTTATGGTATCAAAACCCAACATACAAACATATACAGCTGCCTCGTGTTTGCTTCAACAGCAGCAGCATTATTTTTTAGTCAGGGTAGATGCCATATTTAATTTGACATGAATGAAAACAAAGCTGTGGAGAATAGAACAACTGTCTGTCAATCCATTTGAGCCACACAAATGAGTTTTTGTATTTCACTGCGCTGCTTTTCCATTGTTTTTCTACGTAAACATGCACTAGATGGATGCATTTGAGCACAGTTGTGCTCGCGTCTCGTGAAGTTAAAAGTAGTTCAAGTTTTTGAATTTTTTTTTTTCATTTCACTGGCCTGCGTCATGCGTTTATGCAGTTAAAACGGTCAAACATATATAGTGTTTATATAGTAGCACATTGGAACACAAAAACGCATTCTGTGTGAATAAAGATCTTTGGTAATTTTGGTAAAATTTGAATTGACTTTATTTACTGTACTTCTATGCCCCACAGCCTCCCTTTTTATTCTCATTAAACTATGCATGGCGTCTCCCCTAACCAGGCTCCATGTCTTGGCTATTACATTTTTCTGTCAAAACAATCCTAAAATGCATTATATTGCTGGCAGTACAGGACAAAATCTACAAGACATTCTCAGTTGTCCATGTTTTGACAGTTTACAAAACATGTGTAGTATAAAACCTATTTCAGACCTATTTGTTATTTATAATATGTCTGACTATTATCTGAACTAGTGTCACTTCTACTTCCATGTCTAACAAACAAAACAAAAAACAGTTTTTGTTGTTCTCTAATCGCTCATGTCCTCTATTGTCTCTTCTTCAATCTCTCTGCCTATCTCCTCAAGTTTCACCGTTTTCTTTTGACCCTTCTTCTCGTCCTCTTTCTCCGCTGTTACGTACCACGGCTTGGCTGCCGCATCATCGCAGGCCCTGCCGCCGCCCCCCCTCCTGTACCCGCCCCGTCCCGCCCTCACCAGCCCCCAGCCCTGAGGTTTACCCTCATGGGGTCCGCTGTCCTGAACACCCCTGGTCTGGTCCAGCTCCTTAGCACTGAGGGCCGGCATCCGAACGGGGACAGTGTTCCCAAATTTGGAGTAGTCCACCGAGTAGCGGCCGTCCTCCTCCGTCATAATGGAGACGAAGCGCCGACCCCACAAGATCTCCTCCGGCGTGTAGGATGTGCGGGCCTGCATTGTGATCCCGGTGGTCTCCACAACACCTGGAAGAACAGACACATGGGCTCGGTTTCAAAAACTAGTGACTAGTTAAAAGATAGTTTGGTAACGCTTCCTTTTACAGTACAGCACTTACAGTTTACTTACCTAGAAAGTACTGGCTAATATAAGGTAAGTACATGGAACAGGGGTTCAGGGTTAGTACTAGTTTTTACCCAGTAATTGTAGTTACTAAAATAAGTACATAGTATTTACATGGGTAACTGGACTGTAACAGGAAGCCTTACCAATAGTTTTTATTTTATTTTCAGTTTGTCTTTTAAATTTAGTGTTAGTTTTCACTCTTTTTTTTTTTGAGTTTTCTAGTTTCAATTTGTGTTGTTTTTTATTTTAGTTTTAGCATTTTAGGGGGAAATTGTCTTTTCAAATTAGTGTAGTGTTAGTTTCCTTACTTTTATCGCTCCTTTTAGTTTTTTTCAGAATTTTCTAGCTTTAGCTTTAGCATTTTAGGGTTGCCAAAGTTAATGTTGATTATGAAAAAGTTTTGACATTAGCATGTTGCTAAGCTAATAGTGCAATACGCTAAAAAGCTTTAAAAAGACATAATAAATATGTGTTAAACTGCCAATTTTTTAATTATATTTAAAAAAAAATGTCTTTTCAAATTAGTGTAGCGTTAGTTTCCTCACTTTATCGCTCCTTTTAGTTTTTTCAGAATTTTCTAGTTTCAGTTGATTTAGTAATTTTAGCTTTAGCATTTTAGGGCTGCCAAAGTTAATGTTGATTATAAAAAAAAATTTTGACATTTGACATTAGCATGTTGCTAAGCTAATAGTGCAATACGCTAAAAAGCTTTAAAAAGACGTAATAAATATGTGTTAAACTGCCAATTTTTTATTTAAAAAAAATGTCTTTTCAAATTAGTGTAGTGTTAGTTTCCACACTTTTATCGCTCCTTTTAGTTTTTTTCAGAATTTTCTAGCTTTAGCTTTAGCATTTTAAGGCTGCCAAAATTAATGTTGATTATGAAAAAGTTTTGACATTTGACATTAGCATGTTGCTAAGCTAATGGTGCAATACGCTAAAAAGCTTTAAAAACGGGTAATAAATATGGGTTTAAACAGCCAATTTTTAATTATATTTAAAAAAAAAATTTAAATTAGTGTAGTGATCCTCACTTTATTGCTCCTTTTAGTTTTTTCAGAATTTTCTAGTTTCAGCTGATTTAGTTTTTATTTTAGTTTAGCATTTGAGGGCTTGGGCTAACTTGGGCTAACATTTGAAAATGTCTCGGCACAGTCTAGTGTTTTGATATCTATACTTGCAGGTGGGTTGTACAGTTTTATAATACCATATATCAAAAACTACTACTAAAATGTATCTGTGGCAATAGTTAATGGTTTGTTTTTTTGCTATTTTCTAAATAATAGGTTAAACATGGGGTGAAATTGTCCAAAGGTAATTATATTCAAATGTTTCTATCAATACTTTCTAGTATTGAATGAAAAATATGCTTCGTCCTTGCTTCAGCCAGCTTGTGTACATACAAGGCAGCATACAATGAGTTTGAAATAGGGGTTCCTTTAGCTTCTCTGATTCATTTCATCAAAATGGTTACCCCATTAGGTATTGAAACGAAACGTTTTCAATAAAGACAAATGTACTTCATTCACCTTCCAAAATGACAATGATCTCCAGGTCTTCGGTGGCCAGCGACTGTGCCGAGACCTCGTACAGTGGACTTCCTCTGTCAATAGTGTGACTGATTATAAGCGGAGAGACGAGGAATATGCCGTTGCTCCTGAGAGGGTTTTCCACCTGGATATCGAGCTGACAAACAGGAATCACCTCACCTTCCGCTGTCACTGTCCGCCGAATCACCTGAGGGACCAAACTCAAGATTATTCACAATGCCATAGAAGAACCATTGTGGGTTCCCCAAAGAACTTTTCAGTGCTCTTACAGTACCATTTCCACTATAAAGAACCTTCTGTCCAATGGAAATATTTCATAGATGTTAAAGGTTTTTCATGGAAACCAATCAAGAACCTTTATTTTGAAAAGAGTCGGAGACGTTTGTCACCTGCAGCTGAATGGTGGCCGAGATGATCATGCTCTTCCTCAGATCCCCGACGCGGAACATGAGCGTCGGTCTGCCGTTCCGCGGGGCAATGACAGCGTTTCGCGAGAAGATGAGGGTCTCTGCTCGCCGGTTGGCTTGAGCCGTCTTCATGAACACACAGCCCAGCATGATGGCGTTGATGATCAGGCCTAGAATGTTCTGGATGATGAGGACTATGATGGCCAGCGGACATTCCTCTGTCACCATTCGTCCTCCAAAACCAATAGTGACCTGATATTACAGACACATAATAGTTTGCGTTAACCCTTTTAACCTCAATTTAGGTGCACTAAGACACACATTAGGTCATCGATGGGTCAGTTACCTGAACCTCAATGGAGAAGAGAAAAGCAGATGTGAAGGAGTGAATGGAAGTGACACAGGGCACAGGCCCGGGGTCGTTGGGATCTTGCGGCTCCAGATCACCGTGAGCGAACGCCAAGAGCCACCAAACCATGGCAAAGAGCATCCAAGAGCAGAGGAATGCTGAAGTGAAGATGAGGAGGGAATGCTGCCATTTCAGGTCCACCATTGTGGTGAACACATCTTGGAGAAACCGGCCCTGAGAAGCAATAAAGTCATCATTTCAGCTGTTGTATAATATGTTGTACAGCGATATTTGAAGATTTGCTTTGAGTTGATCTTCACCTGTTCTCGTATATTCTTGTGGGCAACATTACACGAGCCGCTCTTGGTGATGAAACGCGCTCTCTGTGACTTTGGCCGGATGCGAGAGGGTTGTGCGGCATCTTCGGCGAGTCGTGTCAACAGGAACCCATCGGGCATAAGGCCTTTGCGGGCCAACATTATGATAATCTGTGGCTGATTGGTGCTCCACGCTACAAAAAAGAACAATGACACGGATACATGCATTAAAATGGCATTCAAATATACATTGGCAATCATACATTGACTATTTAACACATTTTTAAAAATAATACATTTAAAAAGGTTTCATATATAATATTTAGGCCTATATTAAAAGGTGAATGTCTTTTAATTGCATTAACATTTTCATTCATTTGAATTTCAGGTTCAATGAACTAGGCTAATAAATTTAACATGATGTATAATTTGTCAGTCATGCATAAATGAAACAAGGATAGTTATGTAAGAGTACAAATGTCAGCAAATGTGATTTTAATGTGCAATAGTCAGGTTTTTATATTCATAATCATTAAATCCAATTTTTTAAGGCTATGTAAACAAAATCTCATACTAACTGAATCCAGCTGGCCGTTTATAAACCATGTTCATACTTAATTTATTTCACACTTAGATTAACACTTAAAACATGTATGCTGATTATTATCAATTTAAAGAAATACACTTCAAAAATATGATCAATAAAAATCAAATAAATACAAATACTTAATACGCTATATGACAGAATTATTTTTTAAATTAATATTATTATAATATATTTTGTTTATTTAATTATTGTGTGTTGCTAAAGATTACATGAAAGAGAAAGATTAAAGATTATTTTGTGTATAATTATACATTTATAAAAAGTGAAAATTTATACATTGTACATTATAGTTCTATTATACATTAATTTTGATAATTCAATACAAAAATCACATATATAATGTAACTTCGCTACATATTATATTTTATTCAAATATGTATTTTAAGGAGTTATTTTATAATATATATTTACTCATAGTATTTAATTGAGTTTAACAGAAACCTTACTTGAATTTTAAAAAGGTTTGTGCTTGGAATAATTGCAACTAAACTTAGCATATTTCCCTAATTTAAATGCATATTAAAGCTATGTAATGCGTTCTATTCTGTATATTGATCGTACACTAAGAGTATTCAAAGGACAGTGATGTTTGTGATCATTCAACACAAACAATGAAATATCACAAACATCACTTTTGTTAAAACCAACAATTAATTATATTTAAAAATCTAAATTTCCCCCTCTTTATGTTGTGTATTTGGAAATACATCGTCTTCAGCGGCTATTTAACCTTATTATATAGGCTATTAAATGTAATGCATCTTCGTTACAAAACGCACACGAGCAATTAGACATGCAAATATTATCAGATTTCATTATGCATTGCAATCCATGTTTTTGCATTTTGCAATTCGCCGTTTTAATCGCATAATAATCAAGGTTATTATAACATATAGATGCTTACCAGCACAACAGTGAACCGCGCTGTTTATTTCATATCGATGTCGTTAAAAAAAAAATTACCCGAACAAAATGTTTAAAGAGCAAACGCAAGCAGATGGCTGGCTAGGAAGCTTATGCAATCAGACAACTGTTCTTATGATAGAAAAATGAATGACTGGCGGACTAACATATCCCACAGTCCTCTGCGGCTGTTTCGCTACAGTGAACGCTGCGCTGCTCAGCGGGTCGTTGTATGATATATGTACGCTGTTTTACAGTCGTCAACAATTTTACTAAACTCATATTTCTTGGTATTTGTTTTAAACGTCATTTACAGTTAAAACGAACAGATTTTGTTGGTGTGCGCCGTTTTTTAGAGTGTTTTTTGTGGGTTGTTATTAGATTATTAGCTCTTTAAAAATGGCTGAACCGTGGAATCGAGGTAAGTGACACGTAGCAGCAGTTATCTTTAAATATACATTTATATTTTCATTTCGACTATTTCATTAGTATATACACGTAATATTTTAATTTTATGATGCTTCTCTGGTCTAAAAACAACATTTATTGTTGCTGTTGCCAGTGCAGGTAAACTTTAATTTGTAAGTGGTCAGATATAAAGTCGTATTAGTGTTTGTAACTTATGTCAAAATGACTTAATAACAGTTAATTTTGTTGAACTGACAGGACATGGTGCTGTGGATGATATGTTGGACGCTGAAAACAAGCTGATGGCAGAAAATCTGGCCAGCAAAGTCTCTAGACTCAAGTCTGTAAGTTAGCAGTTATATTCTTTTTATATAAACACTGTATATGATTTTAACATAAGCTGTCATGCTGTTGCATTTACATGTCTTTGGTTTTATCCACAGCTGGCATATGACATTGACAAAGAGGCTGAGGAACAGAATTCCTACTTGGATGGCATGGTGGGTGTGTGTTATCAGTGTTGATGTTGTATTTGCAATGTTGGCACATGGGTGACTCATCATCTTTTACATCCTTGTTTACACAGGACTCCAATTTTCTTAGTGCAACTGGCCTGTTAACTGGAAGCGTGAAGAGGTTTTCCACAATGGTACGATCCGGCCGAGACAACAGAAAGATCCTGTGTTACGTGTCCATCGGCGTGGTTGTGGTCTTCTTCCTGATGTACTATCTTGTGACACGGATCCAGAACTAATGGGTCATTTACTAATGTTTTAGGACAGGTTTCTCAGTTCTATGAGAATGTTTTTTTTTGGATTCTCTGTTTGATCCTATTATGAGGAGATTTCAGTAAACTGTACAGCGGATGTCTTTCCATAAATATTAAAAAGAATGACTGCGGTTTGAGGGTGATTTAGCACATTAACTCTAACCGAACCCTTTGTTTACTCTCTCAGAAGTGGTCTATTCAGTGTATATTTTTATTCATGATCAAAAAAAAAAAAAAAACATGCCACGGACCAATATTTGTTGTTTAATTTTGAATTAAAAACATATTTTTTCAAATTCCATGATTTATATTTTTATCATTGTAGAATATGTTTGAAAATTTAATTAACATTTGTTTTCTAAAATTATGGAAATTAAAATGAATTTTAAAGGCAGTTGTGTTTTTTTTTCTTGTGCTTTTTTATCCAGGTGAGAAAGTCCTTGCATGATGTCTGTTTAAAACTACTGGGTATATGTCCCTCAAAATCAGTTATGACATAACATTTATTTTTTGAAATCTGCAAATATTTGCAGAATCTTCCAGGGATAGACAATGAAACTGAAACACCTGGTTTTAGACCACAATAAATTATTAGTATGGTGTAGGGCCTCTTTTTGCGGCCAATACTGCATCAATTTGTCTTGGGAAAGACAGATACAAGTCCTTAACAGAGATCAGAGGGATTTTGATTCATTCCTCCTCCAGAACAGTGGCCAGATCACTGTGATTCTGGTGGAGGAAATCCTTTTATGATTTGGTCCTTCAAAATACCACACACACACAAAAAAGACCCAAAAGTGACTCAAAAATATATAGATTTGGTGATTGTGTTATATGTTAGGCTTACTGTTATCTATAAGCTAGTGTGCTCCAAAACAATGACAAATTTGCATTTAGAAGACCCAAAACCCAAAGTTGTAAATGAAAATCGGCTAGACGCCAGAAGTCGGATTCCGATATTGACCCAATTTTTATTTCCAACCAAAATGCAACCAGAATCACCCCTGACTGACGTTATTATTGTCGACTCAAGGACCTTGACAGAAATGAAGTGGAGTAAAAAGTACGATATTTGTTTTTCAAATATTGTGAAGTTAAAGTAAAAAGTTTCCAGAAAAAAATAAGCACAGATACTCAAAATGTGTACTTAAGTGCAGTACTCAAGTAAATGTAGGCTACTTTGTTATTGTCCAACCTTTGGAATGTGATTGATAGTTCTATAGTTCTAGCAAGTAAAATACCTTTTTGCATAATTCTAAAACTTTCCACCTTCAGGTTGCGGCACATGTGTATTTGTGCTGTGAAATATTGAATTGCTTTTAAAGTAAGCGTACGAATAGCTTTTATATTGTGAGTAATATTTCAAGAAATGATAAACACAAACGGCGCTTTTCTCCTCCTCCAGTCCGCGAGGCGGCGCCGCAGCTCACAGTGACCGAGTGAGTCACTCTCTGTTTCTCCCGAAGAAGAACATTTAGGATTTTCAAGACAGCAGCAGCAGCAGACGACGGCCAGTTAACAATATCCGCTGACGGCTCTCCGAGGGCGAAGCAAAGCTTAGTGTTCCGTTTTTTTGTGTTGTTTTCTTTTGTTTTTTTTTGCATTTGATTTGTCCAGATGTCCGGTGAAGTGGAGGCGAGTACAGAGGAGCAGCAGGTTCGCTCATTCAAACACGTTTCGTAGAGGCCGTAGCGCATCTGACAATGTGATCGCGATGATTGTTGAAATAATAATATATAAGTAAATTTATCTGGTGTATTAAAGTGAGAGCTACTGGACTATATAAAACAGCATGTTTTTACTAGTCTTTTAAACCGTGTATTATGTGTTTGTAGCACCGTTTTAATATTTAAAATTATTGTCTATATATATATATATATATATATATATATATATATATATATTAGGCTATATGTGTATAGAAGCAGTAAACTTTACTTTTTATGGAGGCAAACAAGTTGTCAAATTGACTAACCTTTGCTGTTTATCTGTTTATGCTGTGGTTTAATGCAGTTTTAATCAGTAATATGTTTCTTGTGATTAATGAAATTTAGTTTGAAGTGTTTTTGTTGTCACATCTACTGTAGGAGATGCAGGACACTGTTGTAAGTCCAGAAAAAGCTGAGGAGGTCAAACTGAAGGCCCGATACCCTCATCTCGGGACCAGGCCTGGCGGGTCGGATATGTTGCGAAAAAGACTACAAAAGGGGGTACGGTTTCGAAAGAGATTTTAAAGGAGAACTATACCACCATCAAATAACACATTGGTACCTAGTCGACCGTTCTCTGAGATTTGTTCTCATGATAATCGAATGTAAAGAGTTTTATCTCTAAAAACTGTTAAGTGTGTAACGCTAGTATATAGGGCATAGAGTAATGAAAAATAAAAATCGCTAGTTAATACCACTAACAAGGCTCAAAATAGCCCCACACTAACATTTGAAGCATCAAAGTGTCAGTTGTGTAGCTGTCAATGGAGGGACCGAAAGCTCCAAAGAAATTTGTGTTCCAAAGATGAACAAAAGTCTTACATGTTTGGAATGACATGAGAGAGAGTGAATAAGAGAAATTTTGGATGAACTTAAGAGTCAGAATTCAACCTATTGATTGTAAATAACGGACTTGTTTTTTCCTTGCAGCAAAAATACTTTGACTCGGGTGACTATAACATGGCCAAAGCTAAAATGAAGAACAAACAGCTCCCGACTGCAGCGGCGGAGAAGACCGAGGTCACCGGAGACCACATTCCCACTCCTCAGGACCTTCCCCAGCGGAAACAGTCTCTGGTGGCCAGCAAACTCGCCGTTTGACGCCTGCTCTTTCCATCTCTGTTGCGTTCCCTCAGCCGTCATTGTTTCGTCTTTCTTTTGCTCTTTTCGTCTTTGGCTGTAGAAATGCTCTCAATATAATATTTTGACAAGGAAATCTGTAGATTGCTGCTACCAATGTGCTTGGATTTAAAATTGCACCAATGTGCTTGGATTTAACCATACAGTTAAATGTATCGCTTCAATGCCAAGGTTTGAACATGGTAATCTGACCGATTGAGTCGGATCGGCGTTATTTTAGGGTTTTACACTTTTCCTATCTTTTTCCACCACTATTTTTGTGTATATCTTGACATGTGTGAACCGATATGGACTTGACTTGAAATAATCACATCCACCTCTTCTGCCAAAACTGTGCCTGTTTGAAGAAAGAAAAGGCCTCGTAGACGTTAGACGGTTGAGCTGAGAAAAATCGAAACACTCTTGAAGTTCGTTTGTTGAGAATTGCGGTTTGCCTCCTCCTTGTTGATGATGAAACTGGCCTTGAAACGGTCATTCACACACATTGAAGAGTGTGTTGATCTCTTAACTGTCTCGTCTAGGTTGTGTTGCCAGAACAACTGAAATGATTTATCTGAGCTGTACAAAAGTTTACTGTCACAACTGTGCCATTTGCTTTGTAAATAAAATAGTTTTGGACGTGATTTGTGACCAAGTAGTTGTTTTTGAACTCCGCAGTGTTTCTTGTCTTTAAAAGGTAGTCGAATTGTTGTTAAATTAAAATAAAATAATTTTAAACTAGCCACAGGCATTGTGCTGTCATTTAGAAGTAACTTTTGATGAAGTGCACTCTTGGTGAAGTGGCTTGTTTAACTAGCTCTAGTCAAACCCTGATGATGAAGTGATTATTAAAACTAAAGCACTCTGGCCTTTGCTTTTTAATTTTATCCATATTTTAAGTTAATTCACAGTTAGAAAATGCTTTAAGCTTGATCTGGTTTCTGACAGAATTTTCAGGAAAAAACAGAACCAGTTTACTTTTGCATTATGTGTGGTTTTTCTATCTACCTGGGACGAGTGCAGTAACTCATAATCGCCACAAGGCGGCACTGTTCTTGCGGCAGTATTTTTTTTTTTTAATTTTTTAATCGAGCGATTATATTGTCAAAGCCAAGATGATGAACATAGAGTTTCTAGTAGCATAAGATTCGAGAAGACATCGATATATACAAATAACCACCTCTCGTTTGGAGTATGCATATAATATTCCTGAGCGAGGTGCAGTAACTCATAAGCACCACAGGGCGGCACTGTTTTCACGTCGGTCATTGCCACGGCGACTTTTTTTTTTTTTTTACGGATCACACAACTATGGTCACAACGTGTAAAATAAAACAGAAAAGGGAAGTATGCTCATGCTGTACAAAAGTATTGGAAAAAAAAAACAAATATCAAAGGAAGAAGAATGGCTTCTTCCCATAGTCAGCAAAAGCTCGTTCACCGGCAAAGGGCTAGGATGATTGTCACACAGAAATAGAACAAGAAGAACCATAGGGCAAGAATACGTTGAATATGAAATGGGCGTGGTTTGGCTCACCGGAAGCTCGTTCTAATTGGTTACATGTGCTAAGTATACATTATATTTTACTTAATAATACACAATATTGCATTAGGTTGTAATATTTTATAATATATTTAGATTTATTTTTTTTCAGCGTCGTTATTCTGACAAATAACTCATGGCTTTGTCAAGTGGTATATGTTACTTTTCTCAGCGGTGTCAGGGTGGACCAATTATAGTGAATTGTGATTATAAGGTGATTTGTTATTATTATTTGTTTAATAAAAGTTTTCATTTGTATGCCATGTATTTGTATAATCAGAATTAATATAATGAAAAGATTACACATTTATAGATTTGAATGCAGCTCTGTGAGCCGCCAATCGCCCCCTGGTGGAACTAGCCATCATCATGACCCATAAGAACAGCTGTTAGTTATTAAACTGTGCCACTCAATGTATTTCCCCGGCGGCTGTCACACTTCTTCCACACCACTAGCCAAAAGATTGCATAAACTTTGGCGTTTCTCAATGTCTTTTTCTAAATTGTAGCAGCAGACGCAGAGAGTTGTGATGTTTCTGGAGTAACGGGTCTTCAGGCGGAGCTCAATGGCAGCGCCGGAGCTTTACTCGAAGGTATGAGTTTAAATAAAACCCGCTAATTTCACAAATGAGTAATGGAAACATGTTAGAAGTTTTATCACCTAAGTTAGACAGTTTGTCATACAGCACTTTTTCTGGTTTGTGGGAACTTTAAAGTGGCTTACTGGAATTTATTATTCTTTTTTAATTTATTGTAAAACATTATTTAGATTTGTATCCAAAACAAACTCTGAAAAATATATCAATTTATATTTCATTGTTTTAAATATTAATGCATTCATAAAACAATCTTATGGTTAATTGCAGTTGAAAGAGAAGCAAAAAATAATATCAGTAAATTAAAAATAATATATAAATCTGAGTTGCTGCTCTAATTTGAGGTAAATCAGTCCATTTTACAACATTTAAAATTGCATTTCTTGTTGGTGTGTCCACCTCCTGCAGTTTGCTCGAGTCTGGATCCCAGACACCACCGAGGTGTGGAGATCAGCAGAGCTGACTAGAGACTACAGGCCCGGAGACACCGAGCTACATCTGCGGCTCGAGGATGAGACGGTGAGAGCATCAAAACACTGACCCCTGCTTTCACAGCCAAGGCTGAAGTCTGTTTTAACTGAAAGCAATTTGCACTGATATTTCTTAAAATATTAATTATGACATTTTTAAAAATGGTTCAATCTAAGCTTTGTCAGTGAAACCAGGCCTTGGTCTTTAAAAAGTTTTCCACATGCACCCTGTTCTTCATCTGATGGTAGAGAAACCCTGTTTTGATCTTGTTTACCCATCCAACATGGGTATTATGAAGGGAAAGTATACAAATTAGACCAGATCAGGTGGTTTAGGGCTGCTTGAGTCAGCATTGAGTCAAGTTGGAAGCAAAGAGTCAGACTGGTGGTGAACAGGACGCTGTGTGGAAAATAATGGGTGTGGAGTCCCAATTCCAGCATATTTCAGTAACTACACCCATTGCTGTTCCCACAATTTGTTTCACTGGTGGCAGCTGGTAACGTTAGTCACTAGGCCAAAGAAAATGGTCTGTGAAGCTTAGCTTGTGGTTTTCCTGAGGTAAAATGTATCTCGTGTCTGTAAGTGTGACACTGATAGCAAAAGCTTTTGCATGTTTTATCCTGCTGTTTAAGCTACATGTGTGTACAAGATGACCTGATGAACTTCAGTTTAATTAAAGACTTCGCTCTACTGACAACTATGCTGAGGATTATGATGAAAATAATAAAACTATCGCATTCACAGCAATGCATGTACAGTGGAAGTAATTAGTTAATTTTATCTTTTTAGCTACTTAGCAGTTTGACTATCAAATATATTAGCAACTCTTACTCTCTACTTGACTACATTTTTGAATATGTACTCTTTAACCCATTACATTTGTGATGAGTAATGTAATTGTTACATTTTGCGTGGCAACTAACTTTTTCTGAAGCTGTTTATTTCACTACAAAAGTGATATATCGCCATCTATAGGGCATTGAAGGTACTACATTTTTGCCGTTTTTGCCCTTACACACCCAAACTTGTCAACAATGCTACTTTATGCGAATGTGAGTGCGTTTGCAGGTTAGTTGTTGAATTGCAAGTGTTTCATTTTATGAGAAGAGGACATGGCTACAATTGAAACCAGTCCTATGCAAGTAGGCTTTAACTATTTCGTTTTACTTAAAGGAGTTGTTTACTTTTAAAAAAAACTTTTGCTGATAATTTACTTACCCCATGTCATCCAAGATGTCCATGTCTTTCTTTCTTCAGTCGAAAAGAAATTAAGGTTTTTGATGAAAATATTCCAGGATTTTTCTCCATATAATGGACTTCAATGGGAACCAAACGGTTCAAGGTCCAAAAGACAGTTTCAGTGCAAACTGTTCAAACGGCTTTAAACGATTCCAGACGATGAATAACAGTCTTAGCAAGCGAAACGATCACTCAATTAAAAAAAAAAAAAAAAATAAAGTTAATAAGCTCAAATGCTCGCCTTGCTCTGTTCTGTGTGACTCTCCTGTTCAAACTCGTTTATCAAAATGAACAAATCTTTTCCAGAGTCAGCTCGTTCATTTTGTTTGTTGAATGAACCAAATGACTTGAAAAAATATTCGTTCGTTTTGATGAACGAGTTCGAACAAGAGTCACACAGAACAGAGCAAGGCAAGCATTTGAGCTTCTAAAACTTAAACTATGTTATTTTTTTTTCTTAAATGAGTGATCGTTTCGCTTGATAAGACCCTTAATCATCGTCTGAAATCATTTAAAGCTCTTTGAACAGTTTAACATTATTTTACTTATCCAGTGTAGAGACCTTTCTGATGGATATTGGTTTACTTAAACCCTTTTAGAGCACTTGAGCGTAACTGAGGCTTGAGTGTTTGTTGACGTCTAAGAGGCTGTTGTGTCGACCTTGATTTAGTGCGATATTGAGATGTTCAGTTTTACTTCGACTTTAGAAAACACGTGTTTCTTGTTTTTCACTAGCATGTCTGTTAGGTGCTTCTTTGAGCCTTATTACAGTAAGAGTAAAATACTTTAGTACTGTTAAATTCAGATCATCTAACACTTTTATTTGAGTGGTATTGGAATTGGTGACTTGTAACTTGTCATTTTTGCTGTACATTTACCCAACTATGGTTTTCAGGTACTTTTTTCACCCCTGAAAGGAAATATATGTCCTTTTAAGAGCATTTATAGTTCTCCTGATGAGCTTCGGCTGATTTGTAGAATCTTTTCATAGGAGTGCGAGTACAAGCTGGACCCGAAGAGTGGCGTTCTGCCTCATCTTCGTAACCCGGACATCCTGGTGGGCGAGAACGACCTCACGGCTCTCAGTTACCTCCATGAACCGGCCGTGCTGCTCAACCTGCGGGTCCGATTCACAGAGTCCAAGCTTATCTACACCTACTGCGGTAATGAAGAACGACACCTCACCTGCCCATGACATCGCTTTCTGGATATGAAGAGTTCAGATGCAAAAGCCTCTAAATGCCATTTGAAATTTTCTTCTTTAATGATGATTTTTATCAAACTTGTATATTTAAGTTCATTAATTTCACTTAAATAACAAAATTACTGAACTTAAATATACAAGTTTGATAAAAAATCATCATTAAAGAAGAAAATTTCAAATGGCATTTAGAGGCTTTTGCATCTGAACTCTTCATATATTAAATTCAGACTTTCCTATTGAATTGGATGGTCTGTTCAATATATTGTCTGATAGTTTCACATTTAAAAAAAAATAGATTTCTTAGTATATTTATGTAATTAAATCTAAAGAAATATTTTGCGTGTTGTTTAAATGACCTGTAGACTTTGGAACTTCCATGAGCAGCAGATATTACTAGTGAATATGAACCATAAAACATGACTTGTCATATACACCGCATAGCTCATTAGACTTTGAGTTATGGACTCCTGTTCTTACAGTAGATTAGACTGTTTTGCATACAGTATGCAAAGTAAAAAAAAAAAAGAGTTTTACAAAAAAAGCATTACAATTCAGTCTGACCTTCAACAAATTATTTGTTTTTTAAATTAT